GTGTTTTCCTTTTGCCGTCTATTTCCTCTTTCGCGCGGTCTTTCTCGGAGTGGTGCCTCTCGCCGTATATTCCACTCGCGATGCTCTATTCTATTTCGATTCTCCTTTTTCCTGCTTCTTCCGCCGTGTTTCCATTTTGTTGTTCCTCTTCGGGCACACCGACTTCCTCCTTCGGCGTTCTGTGGTACGTGGAAGGAGCTGACGAGAGGCACGGTACCGTTCGGTGTCCATTCTACTTATGCGTCGGGGATTGCTTTTAATGAGGCCGAACTTCGATTGCCGGGTTTATATGGAAACGTCGCGTCAGGGAGACGATGCGAACAGTGATTAGTGGGAAGATTAGAGGGATTGGAGTGATAAGGAAATTGATGTTTACGATAATGCGGTGACGTATTCAGTTATCTTGTAATTGGACCATTAACCCTTTGCGGACGAGGATTCTTTGAAATGCACAAAACCTTCAACGTATGAAGCTAAATTATATCGCTTAATTAATAGAAAAAAGGAAAACTACATGCTGACCTCTTGCTGTTCGACTAATTAGATCATTTGTCCACGACTTGTCTTCCAAATCTGAACATTTCATCTCACTGAAATGCCGACATCCGTAAAGGGTTAATTCTAGATCTCTTCTGCTACAGTTATCGAAGAGATACCGTTTGAACTTATCCATGTTAATCAAGTATTGCTAATGGATTAAATATATATCTAATAATTCCAGTCTCAAGTCCAAAAAATGGACCTATTACAAAATGCCATCCATTCGTATACTCCTGCCCTAGCTTACCCTCCACATTTTTCATCTAATTAATTACAATGAATTAAAATACTTTCACAGTTCCCTCAGACACTATTATAAAATTATAATTCCTTCTTTTTGCATTCACCGCGCAAGCAATCCACAGACAGCTCCCCAAGCCGTGAAATTAGAACGGTCCCCTGACCGAGTAGCAAAAAAACTGCGAGATGGTCCACGGTTTACACGGTGTCAGCTAAGTTCATTAGCCCTCGACGGTGCAAAATACGTTGATATTTGTTTTCGCCGGGAGATCGTCGAGCGACGCCGTGTTCGATTCATAGGTAGCCGCGCGTAGCCTTTGAACGTTCGCCCGTTTGATGTTTGGACAGCATTTTCACGGGTATTCCCGGGCAGCGCTGCGCGGCGGCGCGTCCGCGAGCCTGCCGTGTATCGGGGGAACCAGTTCGAATCCGGGCGAGTCGCGAACTGAAAAATTTCGTTAGCCGCAGACCCGTCCGAAGTCGCTTGTTTGGAATTCGATCGAAGTTTCTGCCTGACCGTACTGTACACACTGCGACATGCACGCGCGGGCAAACTGCGCGACAATCGAGTCAACGATTCCGCCGATTTTTCAACTTACTTTCGATCGTTCGGACCCAGGCGTTCGCAATCGAGAAACACGTGAAATCGAGTTAACGCTGCTGCTCGCTGAGAGGTTTAAATAGCTCAGTTCGGAATCTCTGCGTTGGAATTATTGAATGCGGATCATTTTCTTGGAGTTGAATTGATCGAGTAACTGAAGTGTATTAGAATTTCGGATTTTGTCGAGTTCTCGATAGCAGTTTATGAGATTAGTAAATTAATTGAATAGAGTGTATTAGAATTCGAGATCTTGTCAAGTTTTCGAAAGCAGTTTCTGAGATTAGTAAATAAATTGAATAAAGTATATTAGAATTTTGAATTTTGTCAAGTTCTCGAAAGCATTTTCCGAGATTATTAAATTCATCGAATGACTATAATACATTAAAACTTGGAATATTGAATCGAATAAAATGAACTTAGAACGTAGATATGTTCGAAAATATACGTCGATGGAAGTCTGAATAAGTGCTGGATGGTAAATTAAAATATACAATAAATTTGGAGAATTTCTGTAGTATCGAAGATTGTCTTCCTTCTCGATTAGATTCCATTTTATTCGCTATTTCATGCTTATCCGTCGTATTTTATATATTATACTCGTAACATTGACTTAAACAGACAGGTACCGTGTCAGTGTATAATTTCGAGTATTAAAAAACTTGGATACTGTCCGTTTTCGCAGGATTCCTAAAATGAGAATCGCAGAGGAGGTTCAAGGCGAACTGCCTTTGGACGTAACGTGTGCGTAAAGGATTAGGCCCGAGAGCCGCATATGGGGTGAATCACACAGATGAGACAAGATATATGTACTTTTCGCTAGTGGCAAACAAAACTAGCGTATTACAGGAATGCTTTCTCAATTATACGAACATCTATATTACTCGATGTTTACGTTTTACTTATTTTATTCAAAATCGCTATAACCATCGGATGCTTTCGAGAAGACGCAATGTATTTTGTGAAAAAGATTCTTGAAACACGATCATCCCTTTGAATGTGTTCTAAACATTTCAATTTTCTAAAAATATTATTCACTTTTGAATTGCGAAACTCATTCTGTATTCTAATAAAGAAAACTGTTATTAAAATGTTGAAATTAATGTCGCAATAAAACGACTACAAATGTGCGTTTATCTGTATTTTTAACTGAATTAATGCGCCTGCAGGTATATCGAGACAAGTTTAAAAGAATGCACCTCGATCGAAGGAGAAAATTACAAGCTAGTTCCAGGGTTAATACAAAATGAGAGCATCTAAACTTTCTAACAATGATATATTCGATATCAATAAAATTGGATTACTCCGGCGAATGCTCTCGTTAACGTTAGTGCCTCGCGTTTACGATGTACGCGTTGTTACGCTAACTATAAAGCCTTCTCACCCTTGTAATTTCCAGCCACTTCGAGGAACTTGTTACTGTTACTGCGATACTTTTACGATCGATGTACCCTTGCTTCGGCTACGAAATTTTCCTGCCTCGCGAATTTGTTGCGCTCAACTTCGGACATTCATATTTTATCACAGCAGTGCAACGTGATTTGATTTATTAATAACATTAGATAATCAACGGGGTACGTTCTTGCGCAGTCGTGTGAACACTCGGTGTTCAGATTTCTTCAGTCTACGAACAATTCATTCAAAAAACTGATTATTGTAACCGATTTCCACTAAGAAAACAAACTTACACAATGCAAGTCACATTTTCATTTGAAAGATTTAAGCGTTGTAAAATATATTAACGTCACGCTAGAATATTCTTAAAAAACAGTGTAATAATTAGTTCAAATTTACTAATTTAATAATTTTTCAAATTACAACCCCAAAATCACCCCTATCAATTGGAATAGTCACAATTCAAAATATATTAACGTAAAACTAGAATATCCTAAAAAAACAGTGTAATAATTATTTCAAATTTACTAATTTTATAATTTTTCAAATTACAACCCCAAAATCACCTCTATACCGGAATATTGCCTACCCAACAATTCAAAATATATTAACACTTTCGCAGTCACATATTTGTAACGACTGTAATCCTATATTTCCCATAATGAGAATGAAATTAATCCTACAGATATTATTAAAAATCACAAACTACATTATATTTAGAAACTCAATGACTGTTTCAGTTTCCTCTTTCCAATATTTTAAATTTACTGGATTGAAGAAAATATGATTGAGGAGACCGTGACCGAAATAAGCGCTGACAGCAATCCTGTTAACATCAAAATAGAACATCCTAGACAACCAATGCGATTATTTCAATCTCACGTCTTCCCCATACTTCTCAAACATTTACAACCCTGAAATCACCGTCAACCTGAACACAATCGCTAACCGAGCCCCTTCTGGTTGCAGAGACCGTGACGCTGCTCGCGAGGCAGTCGGAGAACAAAACCCTGAACCTGTTCGATCAAGTGTACCGGTCGATGGCGGTTTTGAGCAAGCCGTCGATAAAGGCGTTGTACCAGGCGATGGCCGATTACGTGTCGCCGAAGAACACGCCGGACACCCTGCAGCAGCCGTTGACCAGGGACATGCTTCAGGAACGGTTCATCGAGTTCTTCGCGAAGCTGTTCCCGATCGCTTACCACAACGCGGTGAACCCGCACCAGTACGAGCAGGACTTCACGGAGAAGTTCAAGACCTGCCTGTACGAGACGATGGATGAGATCCAGCCGTTCGGCGACATACCGAAGCAGGTCGCGAAGTCAGTCAGCAAGAGCCTGGAGGCTACCCGGGTGCTGGTGCAGGCGTTGACTCTTGGCAAAACGGTCCTGGACAGGACCGACAGCGTGCTATTTTCCGGCACCAGCCCGCAGCAGGAAGCCTGTTACGGGGCGCTGCTCAGGATGACTTATTGTCCGAAGTGCAAGGGCATCAGTCCAGCTGTCAGGCCTTGCAGCGGATTCTGCACCAATGTCATGAGGTGAGCCTCGTACCCTCGAACTTCCTGGGGACGCTACTCGGTGCACTGTTCGACATTTCGTGTCGGTTGTTGGTGTCGGTTTCTTTGCTTTGGTTTCGATATTGTCTCTGAATATGTATTTTTCTATTAATCCTTTGCACTCGAGAGGTCACTCTCACTCGCCAATTGATTTCATACAGTGAAACTGTAAAATTCGATATTTAATCCCTTGGCGTACTATTTACTTTAAGCTCGTGTAATATTTTACTATCGACAATTTGTAAGAAATACAACAAAATTTTCCATTCTACTTCAGGTGGAAATTGAAGATGATACATTGATAATAGCAAAATAGTTGTTTGCCTTGATCCATGGGTAACGAACAACATTGATTCTTAAATTAGTTTAGAAATCTTCATCACGAGTCTTACTCGTCATTGTACGGCAAGGAGTTAATATTATACCTTGTATAACATCAATTTGGGAAATATTGAAATAAAATAGCTTTGTTCCTCAATGTACATGCGATTTCTCTTCGAGTCAGTTTCACAAAATACCGTCTTTATCTCGTCTCGCTCATTTAAAGAAATATTAAATTTGATTACAACTAATTGTCCATTTAAAATATATTACATAACAATATCATACTTGAGGTTTTTCATAGACAGTGATATAAGTGGATCTCACTGAAAATCCGCACAATATAATTTTCTGATAATTAGCCGGTACGCAATGTGTTAATTATACGCAAAGAGAACTCTTTTATTAAAAATGGTAATGAAGTTATACGACTACTTATTTAATACTACTCGACGGTACACGGTACTTTTACGTTTCCCGCATGCAATACGTTAACACGTTGAATGCCATGGGGGTCATTGGTGACCCTCGAGCAAATCGAGTTACTATAGTTCACTCGATGGAACGATGCTTTGAAAACATTTATGATATATAAATAATACTGCCTAATGCGGCGACATTGCCACAAATATGTCATCAAGTGGTTTGGTAATTAGAAAACATCGCCGTATAGTTGAGAATTAATTTACTTATCGATCATTTCAATATTTTTTATCAATTGTGAGAATTCAGCCGCCAAATGGGAAAGAGTGGAAATTACAGCGCCGGTGTGAACGTGTTGAAAAGAAATTCATTGATTTCCGCAAGATGTTTTATCCTTTAATAGCATCACAGTCTGGTACCTCATCAGGCCGTCGGATCGCAAACTGAAAGAGTAAGCGTGACTCTTCTGGCGGCATTTGTTTCTTTTACCCTTAACGACCCGCTCTATATTCCATGTTAACTCCAGTTACTTTCACTTTCTTTTATAGTCTTTGATGGCCCGTTCCCTCCCGTCCATACTTGTATTTACAGAAATACCTCGAGTCGTCTGGTCAGCCGAACCTCCCGGCTATATTTAAATTTTTCAGTTTCCACGTTCGCACAGATTTAATGACGAATAACAAAGCTCCCCTCATTAAGAAACTTTCGTTCTCGGATTCTATCGAAACAATCCTCGAAACATCTTCCTGACGATTCACATTAAATTCATAATTGAATTTCTCAATTGAAAATTTAACATTCTAATACTAAAATAATAAATCATTTTCTCTAGTAACTTTACAAAGGAAAATCTGTACGAAGTGATTCATTGATCCTTCGTTACTCCGAATGAAGTGTATTTAATGGAAAAGCTTCGCGAAGGATTGAGTAAAGATAAATTAATTATATAGAACGTGATAATGATCGAATTAGAGTATCGCGTTTCTCGGAAGGAAAAAGAAAAGAGACGAAGCAGTTCACAATTCAGCGAAACGGCAAATAAATTCGTGCGAGCAGGAAGCAGATGGCAAATAAACTGCTTAGTTAAGATTCATAAGATGCAAATTGTAAATAACCACGCGCGGTTTGATCGACCTGTTTCCGAATTCCGGGGGTAGGCCGATTCTTTCGCGGTTAGTTTATCGTCTACGTATATAAGCCTGATGAAGCCATTGAAATCGCTCACACCGCCTCTAAATATACCTCGGGCACGTAGGTGTGAACCGAAATGTGTTTTGGGTTCAAACCACCTCGTGTTATGGATGCTTTCATTGCACCGCTTTCGAGAAATTGTTCAGTCTACCGTTTCCCCACAATTTTCGTCTATTAATACGTTTACCTCGTAATTACTACAATTATTCAAAGCTATTATATAACCCTTGAGAAGCAAGGAAACAGATTTTTCCCTGCTACTCACTTTTCAAGTCTGTAGAGAATATGTGCATAACAGTTTTGTTTCACATTATATTACGAATCATATCGAGAAATAATTAAAAAGGGGTGGAATGTTATTTCGAATGAAAGATTGGGAATAGATTGTTTTATTTTAAACGATGGATATTATTTTTAAGGTAAAATTAGGGTTTGAAATGGTAATTGAAAGTAGATTTTCCCTGCTACAATTTTACTTTTGAAATCTGTAGAAAATATATACATAAGTTTTATTTTATATTATGTTATGAATCATAGTATTACGAATTCAGTATTGAGAAATGATTAGAAAGGGGTGGAATGTTACTTCGAATGAAAAATTGGGAAGAGATTGTTTTATTTTAAACGATGGATATCATTTTTAAGGTAAAATGGATATTTGGTAAAATTGGGGTTTGAAATGGCAATTGAAAGTTATTAGATGGAATATTGTACAAGAAATTTATCATTCTATCGAGGAAATCTGTCTGTTTTAGTTTTACCGTGACAAAGTTCTTGTGGGTGGTCCTTAGCCTCCTTGGTTGTATATTTTCCCTTAATATCTTAATTTCGTGTTCGAAAGTGTGTCATGCGCATATAGATGACGCGGCGGCGTCATGTTAACCTCACACGATGTCTATTTTCTACCATCCACAGACTCACTCCGACGTCAAATTAAAAAATTTTAGTAGACGCAATTAACAGTAATAGTGTAATTGATTTGTAAACATATGGTAATACATTCAAAATTTTACGATTTTATCGGTGAATCAATCAAATTCAATTATAAAGTGTTAAAATGTCTATTTTCGAGCTGGGATAGCAAAATTTGATATTTTATGAATATGTGTTGCATCGATTAATTAATGTTCCAATTTGTGTCAAATTCTTGATTGCATGAAATACATCTTATTGTGCCAGAAGATTTATTAATGTTATATATTTGTAGCATATGAAGTAATTGTCAGCAAGATTTTTAATAAATCATACGTTTGTTTCTCTATTTGATCGTAAATTGTTCACAATGTCACTCATTTGCCGCAATAACAAGTAGACAGCGTGTCTTCATTCGCGTCACTCTCGATAACTTAAATATCACTAGAACAAAACCGGTAATAAACTTGTCGACGCTTCTTCCTCGATTACAACACAAACTCACAAATATGGATCTCCATATATTCGCAGATATTTTAATATTACAAATCCTGAGTCTCTTCATACACCCACAAAAAATCCCACAACTTAAACATCAACAGAAGAAAATTCACCTAAATCTCTTTTCTTTCCAATTTAACTTACACAGATTCTCTAGTGTTAAGTCTTTCCCCGTTCCCACAAAATCCTCTCATCCCACGTTCATCGAAACCAAACAGAAAGAAAAAGAAGGAATCAAAGAAACATTCTCCAGCTCAAACACCAATCCAACAAAACCTACCCTAAATATATTTTCCCTCTAATTTAACTTACACCGCAAATTCTCTGATTTCAAGTTTTTCCTAATTCCCACAAAATCCTCTCATCCCAGATTTACCGAAACCAAACGGAAGGAAAAAGAAGGAATCAAAGAATTATTCTCGAGCTCAAATACCAATAAACAAAACCTACCCTAAATCTCTTTTCCTTCGAATTTAACTTACACAAATTCTCTGGTGTCAAGTCTTTCCTCATTCCCACAAAATCCTCTCATCCCGGATTCACCGAAGCCAAACAGAAACGAAAAGAAAGAAGCGAAGAGAAACATTCTTCGCACCGGGCCGCGGGAGATTATCAAATCATGGTGTCCGCTTACCTTAATTCTAAAAATAAGGGATCGGGGAAACGAGGTTGGAAAGTCGCCATGGAAGAAGTGCGCGGCTCTATGGTGGCGAGGACGCGTGTGAACGCTGAAAATAATCTGATTGCAGAGGTTGCCTGACAGAGCCGGCGTCGGAACTGGACCTCGCGTGGTCCGGCTACGTGGAAACGGTCGAGAGGCTGGTCGTGGCGGTCGACGGTCGTAACGATCCGCTGGGCCTGAACGCCGAGAAGGCTGTCAGACAATTGGACACCCGCATTTCGGATGCCATTATGCACGCGATGGAGAACGGGCCGGGGCTCGAGGAGAAGGTGAGTACCCGCCGAAAACGATTTCCAGCCGGCGCACACTGCGGCCGAACGCCCATTTTCGGGAACAAAACCCAATAACTTCGAAACCGTGAGCGATACAAACAAATGCTTGAGACAAAAGTTGGAAGGTATAGAGCTGAACATATGGTGGTTATATGTTTGTCACATTACGGGGATATTGTGAAGATTTTTCAATGATAATGGATATTCTGCGGTTTGATTCCAATGTTATATGAATCGAGAAACGGTATTTATTCGCATAAAATTTGTATTTTGCAAATGGAAATTATTTAGAATGAAGGATTGCTTATCAAGAGATTGGTTACCTTTGATTTTCGATATAGGAATAGTCGAATTTTGGGTGTTGTCTACAGAACGCCTGTCTTTTGGGCGAAACTCAATAATTTCAAGAGTATGAGTATTTCAAGATCCTTTTGTATAGCAGACTGCTTAGCAACACTTGGTATCCTTCAGTTTTCCTTATCTGAATAGTCAAATTTGGGGTTCCGTCGACAGGCGGCTGCATTGTGCGTCGCACGCTTGTTATCTGCTCCCCGTCCTCGTCTATACAACACACCACCCCCGAGTTCTCCGTTGCGTCTAGCTAACACCGTCGCGTTGCGTCAGTTTTAAGGCCGTCGCCACACGAGCGTCGACGAGATGCATCTCAATTTTTTAACACACAGTACATGATATGTTCTTCCTTGTTATTGGACTGCCATGTGGGTCACCGGTGACCCCCAAGCAAATCGAATTGCTATAATTCGCTCAATTAAACGATGATTATTCGCGAACATTTCTATATTATAAATAACGCCACCCATTGCGGTGACATTCAGTTTGACGAACGTGCGATGGTAATAATCCAATTCGGTCAAATGATTTACTACTGTATTTTCTCCATTTTGCGTACTTTTCTCTACGAAATCGTGTTCAACGTGTTAACACGTAAAACGATGCAACGCATCGACGCTCGTCGCAACGTTCGTCTTAACGTCCGTCACTTGAACGCTCGTGTGACTCCGGCCTTATTCCGCGCGCGGTCTTCCCGCCCGTCTCCGCGCTGGTCCGCGCTCTCGCGAATCGCTTTATACTAATAGCCGCTTTTATTTCTCGCCGGGGATTACTTGATTCACTGGGAGAACGGCGATGCCTCGCTGCAGCGCCCCATTCTCGATGGTATCTCGCACACGAAAATGTTTCTAAAGTTCATTTGCGAGAGTGCGTCCGGACTGCGGGGAATCTGATAGTTGAGTACCAGGGAACGCGGACGATTCCTCGATTGTTTCTGGCCTGCGGATCTCCGTGTGAATATAAGCCGTTTTTCATTTCTGTTTCCGAATATTTTGTAGAGGCGGACGTTGCTTTTCGCGGCGGAGCGTCGCGGGTTTTCGCGTTAGAATGGAGTTGAGGATTGGGAACTGGGAATTGGCTTTTGATAGTGACCATTTGTAGTTGAGTGAGTTATAGTCAGAAGTGGATGATGTTAACGTTAACACTGGAACTACCGAATAGTAAACCATCTTTAGAAATTTCTTGATGGAAGCTGTAAGCGTGAAATTATGGGAATTTCGATTGGTTCGTATTTCAGTTTGGGTATTGTCAAATTAGCTTTGAAATTATTCTAAAAGAAGAGATTTGGAATTGGTATTTTTGACACACCTGGTCTAGTCTTGTGTCGTATTTTTTGTGTTCTGACTTAGATTGTTTCTAATTGATACGTCTTTTAACTATTTTGTGATTATTCAGATGGTGTATTCAAAATTAACGTATTACTCAAATTATAGATATGTTAATTTTGAATAGATTTTACAGTTATCGAGACATAAATGAATATTTAAAATTAGATTAAAATAAATTAGAAAGAAGCATATTTGATTCTTGGTAACATTTTCGTTGAAAGTAACGGTTTATAATATCTGTATCATATAAATAAGTGATTGACATTTTTGGGAAGATATTATGCAACGTCGTTTCAAGGTTGTGAATACTTGATTAAGCGCCCTCAAAATTATTTCTTATCTTTCTCGAATTGTTTGATGTTGCGTGCATTGTGTTCTTTGCGCAACTTTCGTCATTATCGTATCGTTACCGTTTAATTACCTCCTGTTTCCGCAACGAACTCTTTTTTTCCACGTTTTCGATAGTTCATAATTACGTAAGTAAGCAACGTAACCGCGATTCTGCACAGCTGATAATTATACTAACAATCATGCGGATCGATAGAACATTCACCTTGCGTAGGCCTTTTCGCACATGAGCACGGCGACAAAAATTTGCCGGCCTTTTAGCATTTCTTAACGAGCGAACTTAATCGTTTGATTGTAGGGATTTTCTTCGCAAGTTCTACCGAAACAAGCTGAACACCGTACATCGACATCGCGTCTAATTAAATGCCGGGAAATTGACTTTGTTGACGACGTACGTTCGTACGTCAAACAATAATTACCGAGTTCCATTGTGTTGTTTCAGAAAGTTATGCTAAAACGAAACAAAGTAAACAAATTTCACAGGAAAGGAAAATCTCAATAGTAATTATCGTTAGACAGGGCACTTAAGATAATTAACTTCGCTGGGAAAAGACGTGCCAAGAATGTTTCTTAAGGAAACTCATGTTAACGGTAATTAACATTGGAAACGAAGTGAAATAAAATGATTTCACAAAGAAGTTTAATAAAAATTCACGTCGAGAGAAACTGAAATCTCAATTTCTTTATAGAAACGAAGTTTACATTGATCGATACACTGAATTTCATGAATTCATGGACAACAAAGACAGAATTTCTCAAAAATAAAAACAAGCTTCTTAAAACCCGCATAGTGTAACATAAAAACAGTGATACAAAAAAAATGTTTATCTTAATATCTATCTTATTAACATCCTTAAGGATAGAATTCCTCAAAAATGAAAACAAAATTCTTTCGAAACCTACCTGGTGTAACATAAAAACAGCGATACAAAAAGCAGCTGTTTACTCTAACATCTACCTAATTAACATTTCGTGTCACTTCTTTCGCAATTATAGAAAAGGCACGGACGACTTTCTGACAAATTATTCAATAAATTGATTTAGAGACATACAAACTAGAATATAAAGCAACTGAACACAATAAATGTATTTTTGTACATTTTATAAGGAAATACAGAATAATTCCACTGCTCAGTAGTTCTACTGTTAACATCCTTAAAAAGGAATTTCTCAAAGTGAAAACAAAATTCTTCCAAAACCTGGTGCGTTCCAAAAACAGTGATGATAAAGAAACTAATAAAAATAAGCTCATTCAGGTGAAATAAGTGACGCGGCTATTTTACCTGCTGAATTTCGTCCTCATCGTCATCATTAGCTGCGCATCTCGCGACGCGGGACACGCATTTCCATAAATTCGCTTTTTATTTAGGAGAGGAAATTTGCGGCCGCGATATATCAATTCCGTCGCGGATTAGGGGCTGTTAATATAAATGATTGCGAGAAGTTCCGCCGGGGCCGTTCCTTCCCTTAATCTTGAATTTAGGGACGCGACGCAGGCGCGCGCGGACGTTCCCATTACGGTTCGCCAAGTTTCGCGAGGACACATTTCGAACGGACATTATTGTCGACTTATGCGGCACGCCTCGGAATTTACGCGAGTTTTCGCCGCGATGCTGGTATTCCGTTTGATTCCGGTTATGGTCACCTTGCGCCGTTATCCTCGAACCGTTACCATTTTTACCATTATTACCATTTTTGTTTAGCAACCTCTTGCTGTGGAAAGACGTATATAAAAGACGTTGAGAAATTTTTCTTCCAAGATTTCTAATATCTTATGAAGAGAGATAATCTTGTATTGCGTATATTAAATGATTTTGGAATCTATCGCTAAAGGAAACTATTAATAAACAAAATTATTGTAGACACTGTGTAAAATAGGTAAAAACAAAGTTCGCAAGACTTTGTCAATCTGTGAATTAACCTATAGCGCAAGAGGTGGATAGAAACTACCGAGCAATTGATAGTTTGGAATTTCTCTATAGGAATTCGAGTGTCTGTCGAGATTTTAATTGATTTACTATTCAGCTTGTACCGTGTTTTAATGTATTACATGAGAACGATTAAAGCGGTCACTGATATTTTATAACACAGTCGTGATCTCTGCTCTGGAAAAAAGTATAAAATAATAACACTGCCGGTTGATCGCTGGTAGAAGGAAATCGCATGTTGATCGAGGTATCATAATGTCCCGAAAGAAACACACAGAAAAATTAATTAGAATGTGCCGGTCGGTGGGGTATCGCGTAAGCGAGAGCCGTCAGTTCCGAATGAAAGTTTAGACATATTCAACGAGCCTGCGGCGCGCGACATGCAATGTCGGTTTGCGCTTGATACAAAGCTCGAAAGACTGCACACGCCACAACGCCATATTTTCCCAAGATTTAGTGGTGGCTGCGAGACCGTTCGCAATCCTTAATGTCTTCACTCGTTTAAAACCGATCTGTCATTGCACTCGGGCTTCTTATACGTTTGTAATATTTCATTTAAAAAATTCATATTCCCTAATATTGACCGTTATTTATTCGTTAAAATCATTAAAACCGATCTGTCGCTGCATTTGGACTTTTTATACGTTTGTAATATTTCATTAAAGAAATTCATATTCCCTAATATTGACCATTACTTATTCGTTAAAATCATTAAAACCGATCTGTCGTTGCATTTGAACTTTTTATAGGTTTGTAATGTTTTATTAAAAAAATTTATATTTTCTAATACTGTCTATTACTTAATCGTTATTCAAAGATCAGAAATTAAGAATTTTTTAATTCAATTTTCAGTGGCAATGCAAATTATGCATCGATATAAATCTTAAATAATACCATCTTTTACTGACTTTTATCCATACATCTCATAGTTTCATTTATAAGATTATTATGTATAAATAATGAGCTATGTGAGACATAGTTAACTATGTGACAACAGAAATTGATCTATATCGGTAGAGATAGATACATAAAAATGTCGATG